ATTTGATTAGGTCCATAATACAAAGCTTGGGAAAATGAGTCGTCCGAGACATCTGAACCATTTGCGGGCCATTCAAGTTATCCGAGAAAGCCAAGATCCGCGAAACTCGGCACTCGCCACGAACAGTCGTACAGGGGAGAGCGAACCTAGGCCTGGAAGGACCTGACACTCGCTAGCGAGCCACAGTCCACGACCGCACGAGAAGACCCGTGACCCGGCACTCGCCAACGAGTCCCATCTCGCGAGGCAACGAGGAGGCCCGCGAGATACTTCAATACCTGCAGACTCGCCAGCCGGACGCGACCTGCGACCTAGCGAGCCTTGCCGAGAAGACCAGGCACAATCGCCAGCGACCTGTCGTCTCTGAGCACACGAGGGGGCCTGCGAGACCCGAGCCCAACACGCAGCACTCGCCAGCGACCCGTCATCTGCGAGACCACGAGCAGACACCTGAGAAAAGCCGAGCACTCACTGCGAGCGATGACTTGCGAGACCGCGAGTCCGAGTGCGAGAGACCCATCGAACACGCAACACTCGTCGACGACTATAAGTTCACGACTGCGCGAGTCCAGGCGCGTGAGGTAACCGGGGAACGAGAAAGCACTCGCAACGGACTTCATTTCGCGAGGTCGAGAGTTGAGCTCATTAAATGTGTGTGAAAGAATTGTGTTTTGAGAGTAGTATAAATAAATTTGGTCCCTTTGTGTGAGAAGATCTAAACTTCATTTATTTTTTTTCCCCTTTTGGAAATTGCTCTCTTTTCCTTATGTTCTCTAGTTTTATGTTTGGGAGCTTCAAGACATGACTTTTTCCAGCGATGCTGTTTTTATTAAAATTTCGACCTTGTTCGCATTAATCTCGCACGAGTTCGCAAAAGTAGAGTAAGTACTTTGCTTAGGACTTACTACTTCAATTTTTGGTCCTTCTTGCTTATGATGTATTCGAGGTAAAATTGGTGTCATGGTCGGAATCATGTGTCTAGGCTCGGTTTTAGGATCTTTTATTTTTCTTGCTTGCTTAAGTGAATTTAGAAGTTGAATTCGTACTTATCTTGTGTTAAAGGTTAAGACTTCGTTGAAAGCTTGATCATTTAGGTAAAAGGCTTGATTTAATTTCCTAAAACCTTAGTGCTAGCATGTTTCTCTTTGTTTTATTTTCGTTTTACTCGAGTCGATGAGACTCCAGGTGACCAAAGTTCGAGTATTTTCTATAAATCTTGCACCTTTATTCAATTGCTCTCAATTCCTAGTTTAAATTAGCTTAAATCAACCCCAATCAATTTTTTAGATTCTTTAAGAATTTATTTTTCCTTTTTGTACTTTGGACAACGAACTAAGTAAACAAAGTTGTGAATCACCTTCCTTCGAGAAGACGACCCGAGGGTGATCTTTTGATTGTACTCGGCTAAAAACAACAAAACAACAAGCCTCTAATTGTGCATTGGACCTGTACAATTTAGTGTTGTGAAATTGATAATTGCGTATTGTGTATACTTTTCCTTCTTCAATGAAATCTAAGAACTTAGGAATATTCACATAATGAATCATCCCAATTATGCGTCCAGCCTACACGGTTTAGTAAATATTATTCATATAATATACGTAATAGTATT